TCTCTCTCTCTCTCTCTCTCTCTCTCTCTCTCTCTCTCTCTCTCTCTTTACCGTTCCGTTCTCCATCATGTGCAGTCAGAGTAACACGAAGCTGTCAAGAAACCTTTCGCATTGTGATGTATTCGTACGAGGTTTTCTATGGGTTTTGCTGCAATCGACCACAATAAAAAATATTTTCACAACATTTTCTAAATCATCGTTTCTAATTACACCCGAGGCCGATGCTCGGAGTGTTTAAACCAGTGCAAATCCCATTCCAAGCGAAAAGAATTAAGTTCAAGTGGGGCAACGATAGAGAAAGAGAGTGAAAAAGAGATATACAACACACACACACACACATACACACACACACACCCAAACAGGCAGTCCTTTCTAGTTTAACAACTTCACCGTAGACTGACCGCAAATAATCGATTATTTAGGCAAACGTATGAAAATCAATTTATTTAACCAATTCGCTTGAATGGGAAAGCGGCTTATGGCCTGTCCAATTTTGAAACGATAAAATGCATCAAGTATTTTCTTTTTCTCTCTATCGTAATCCGGGTGATTGTGATTCTATTTGCGTTTGAAGGAATGCGTATGTTTTGATTGGAGAAGGGTAAATTTGTTTGGCAACACAACTGAGCCAGCCAACAAACGACCGAACGAGAATATCAAATCGAATAAAAGAAACAGAGAAACAGAGGCATAAAAAGCAACAGTCTATTTTCGAGTCTTTTTACCAAGTCTAATACATACACACACACACACACACACATTTACTTGTTATCCGAACCGTTTTTCCCTTTATCTCCCTACTCAGAGTGGCTATTAATTGAAGTTTCTTCGTATTGTATATCTTTTCCATTTGGAATGAACAACTGTTTATGTCTATATTTGGTTTACAATTAAATCACAACGAATGAATGTAAATTTGTGTGGAGTCTTCGCTTCCCCCCCCCCCTCCCCCCGCCAAAATACAAATAAAAAAGATGAAACTTATGATAAAAGTGCTACTCAAACATTCAAGCAAAATGGCAAGCGTATGTCGGTTCGAATATGTTTTATGCAATTTTTGAAAACGTCAGCGTATGTCATGTTTTAGTTCAAGTTTTATCATTGGCAATCATATTTATTGCTGTCCATATGTATGGTTGTTTTTTTTGGTTGTTGTTGAAAGTTTTGTAGTTTTTCATGTCGGTTTTCCGTATTTGCATAAAATTGAGCGAATTATGCGATTGAATGTGCTGCTTCGATTGCTGAATGTCAATTTTTTTTTTCAAAAGGAATGCTATGTTCAGGCTGCAATTGCTGCCGTACCCAAAATCCTATTGAACATTTATACAATTCGATTTGTTGAACGAGAAAAAAAAAAATTTGCCATCAATACTTCAATCGAAAACATCTCCATCGAATCGTTTATACCTGATTTGCCGATCGAAACATTTCTGTGGTTAGCCGATGAAAGGCTACAGCAGTAGCACCCGATTTCGGGGTGAAATTTCGATTCAAAATACAATTTGTAACTATGACCATGGAAAGCCAGATGAAGTGATTCAATATCAAAATAATGTCAGCATCCGTTATCTAGCTATTTGTAACAATTTGCTGTAAATTTATTAGTGTGCGTGCGTGTGTTTATGTGTCTGTTTACACGGAGTGTGTGATCAATTCCCGGGGCCGAGAAACTAAAAGAGAGTAGATTAAATTTGTGTTCCCTTCTCGAAGCCGATATTTTCGTTTTTCTATTGTAAACACGTTTGTCTGTTTATTATGGATAATCTTTGACCGTGATTTACACACTGCTGAGATTTTTTGTCGTCCGAATCTATATCTAAAACGCATAGAGTTATGATTTGTGTGTATGTATGTGTGACTGTGAGCTGATGAACTTCGGTTATTCAGGTTTATCACATTAAATCATCATATTACATTCATTTGGTTTTGTGTACGATTCCATAAACAAGCCCGTTGTTATTCAATTGTAAGTACTTCGTTCGTTTCAATATTTTTCCGCATTAACCATATTGCCATATTCTTTTTGTCAAATCGGTCGTGTGTTTGCACCATGTGCGCGCCACGGTCTCGCGCGTTTCGCAACATTTACTGTTTACATTTCTAAATGGACATTCATACCGATAACAGATTGTGCAGAAAAATATGCGTTCCATCTCTTTCCTTCTCACATTCTCTCACACATCGTGCACATCAAATATAATTATCAAACAATAAAAACCAAATAGAGATTTTCTCTATCATTTTTTTTTTTCAGTACATTTCATTTTTAAAGTCAATATTATCCATATGCAAGATGTAAATGGTGTTTCTCATTATGCGCTTTTATCGAGAATCACATAATCATAGAGCAGTCTGGGAGCAGCGCTCATCTAACTGATCAACAATACGGCACACACGCATCTCACACTTTCGTGCACACCAAATATACATATTTGTATTCATCTTGCCTCGCTTTCTTTCTCGCTTCGGTTGCTCATAGTTCGCTTACACACATTTATAACAATGGCAATAAAGTGTTCACTTGTTTGTTTTGTCTTCGAATTAAATCCACTTTATGCGAATGTGTTCTTCAAACGACATTCTCCTTCATCCTTCATGGAGCTTATGCATAAAGAATGATGTGCGCTTTTCGCTGGCATTGTTTTCGTTCATATTCCAAACAGCGAATACTCTCTATCCCGCACTCTCTCGCTCACTCTCTCTCTCTCTCTCTCTCTCTCTCTCTCTCTCTCTCTCTCGCCCGAAAAAAAAGAACATTCTCCGAGAAGGAGCAAGCGATACAGAGCATGAATAAGAGCCAAAAGTATGTGTCTATGAGTGGCATGTATTATGCCACACGATAAATATATATATAATATATACATGCCGGAACACAAGAGAAATTATAAGGCGTAACATTTATTGGTATTTAAACTGTTTTTTATGCGTCTTTTGATCGCATTTTCAAGTAGATGATAATAATAATTATTATTTTTATTTGTGTATTGTGTGTGTATGATGTGATTGCATTTAAAATGGTATTAGATGCAAATTCGGTGTGCGAGACAGAGGAATATGGAGCGAAAGAGAGGGAATTAGAGAGAGAGAGAGAGAGAGAGAATGGGCGGAAAAGTGAGAATAGAGAGCATCAGAATAAATCGCCTGAAGTCGAACAATTACCAGAAAAACAAATTAGAGAGAGAAGGGAAAAGCACATATAAGTCTCTTGAAAGTTCGAAGCGAAAACTTGTTTGCCGAAAAAACACATCCCTCTTCGAAGAAGGAGAAGAAAAAGAGAATAATTTGCAGCTAGACTCCGGTAGATTTTGTGTGTGTGTGGTAAAAACCAAAATGAGGTGACTGACTGTTGTTGGCCGTTCAAACATAAAAACATCCAAATGAAAATTAATACTTTTTTTCGATCATAGAGAACTGAAATGAGCAAAGATTTACACGATGTGGATATAGCGATGATAGAAGAAGCAATTCAACTTTATCTACTGCCATGTCCTCACCCTGCCTTTCTTTTCTGGTGGACTCGACACAATCGTTCTGATAAAGTTGAAGCCTAAGAAAGAAAAAAACGTAAAAAACATTCCGGAACATATTTTCCTATAACGAAGAGAGAAAAAAAACGACTAAAATTAAGAAGAAGTGGAGAGAATCAGCAACAGCACCAGATACATGACCACGACATGGAAGTTAAGTTTGAATCAAAACTTTTTTATGACCTTGGTAGAGTTTTTGGCCAATTTATTACCCTCATATATCACACAAAAGTCAGCATCGCATAAGCTAAAAAGCAACGACTTTGGCCGAAAAGTTCCGAAACCAACCAAAAGAAAAGGAAAGAAAAGCAAAACACACTTCTTGCGATATACTCACACTGTCTCATTCCAAATTGATTGGATTGTAGAATGCCGACCGTTATTTTGATTCGAATGTCAGGTTTAATAATAATAAAATATTATTATAGGCTTGTAATTGCATACGCTAATTTTGAGCGGTGGAGGACGGGCATTTCGAAAACTTTATCGAGTTCAACACATTCATATCCACATATTTTAGCTCTTCGCATTTCGATTTATGTCGATATAGGTAATTTTCTTTTTATATTCTTACCCGTACAGGAAAAAAAAATGAAAAAGAAAAATAAACTCGTTAACTTATTTTCGTCAAACACACACGTGCACACGTGCACACGTGCACATACAAACACCGATTTTATTTCTGCCAATCAGTCTATATCAATCACTGTGAGCTAATGCAAAAACATCGAATTGGGAAAAACCGATCCCGAAGTTTTTCTTTTCTCTCGTTTTGCCGTATAACACATTCATTTATTATTACCCAAAATGGAAGCGACCGGTCTTGTCTTCCCTTTTTTGGAAAAGAAAGGATTTCTCCTGAAAAATGTATTCCTTAACAACAACCGACCAACTCACAACATTTATAACAATTCTTCGTATTTCACTGTCAAGTTCAGAGTTCTTTCTATCAATATTTTCTTGTGTGTGTCACTGTTCATATCAGTCTAAAATCCACGCATTGCTATCGTCACCCAAAACCGTCCATTCGCTGTACGTTGTTGTTTTTCTCATTCTCGTTCGTATGATTTTAAATTTAAACTATGTGTAATATACGATTTTGACGGAGTTACGATTTGGTTACGATTTATTTGCAATTATCTGTTTTAAATGCCCATAAAATACAGCTGCGATAACTGTCTGTACGCAAGTGTACAGAGAACGCGAGCGACCATAATTTTTAAGGTTAAATTGATTACAAACGTTGTTTCATTGCACACACAAAAAAAAAGTATCGCTGCTCATTATTTCGGCAAACAGTTGATTCGCGAAATTCGTTCAAAGAGATTCGTGTCTGTAATTTCACAGCATTTATTAAATAGTGCAACAAGTCAATAAATCTATCGCATTTCCCCAGTTGAATTCAATCCATTTTGTGATCTATTTATTTATACATTTCCACGATCCGTGATCATTCAACGCAAAGAAGAAAAAAAACACCGAATTCATAGTGTGAATCCATCAACGAATGCCGGGTAATAATTATTTTGTTAACTGCTTTGTGGTAGCAACAGGATCGAATACAAAAAAAATATGCAACCAATAGGAACAGAATGTCCGACTAAATTAATGTCAACCAGTGGAGAGAAGAGGAAAAAAAAGAAGTGTTCAAACAAATGAAGTATTCAGTGTGAATGAAGCGTAAAAAAATTTCATATATGACACATCGACCGAATGATAGCCATCATTTGCACATCACAATTCATGTGGCGAGCAATGAAATTTTTCAATCTAATTCATATGCCAATGGAAATTTCTTTTATTTATGCTAATAAAAAACCATAAAGCAAATCATAAATTATGGAATGAAGGATGCGCACATAGAGATGTAAACGAACACCGAGCCTGTTCGTTCGTTCGTTCGTGGACGATTCATAGAATTACGAACGTTCGTTTGTCCGAACATTTTCACCGAACGAACGAACACGAAAATCGAACTGTTCGAAACCCAGTCAAAAGTTAGAACGTTCGGAAAATGAACGAACGAACGACAATTTTTTCATTGTTCGAAATTTTCATATGAATTTCGAACGTTCGAACTTTTTTTTTGTGGAAAAAAGCCAAAAATCCTCCTCCGTCGAATTAAAAAATATTAAAAAATAGTCAATCCGATTTTTTATTGATTAATTCGACGAAGGAGGATTTGGCTTTTTTTCCAAAAATAAAATTCGAACGTTTGAAACTCATATGAAAATTTCGAACAATGAAAAAATTGTCGTTCGTTCGTTCATTTTCCGAACGTTCGAACTTTTGACTGGGTTTCGAACAGTTCGATTTTCGTGTTCGTTCGTTCAGTGAAAATGTTCGGACAAACGAACGAACGTTCGTAATTCTTTGAATCGCCCACGAACGGGCAAAATTTGAATTTTTTTCGAACAGTTCGTGTTCGTGTTCGTTGACATCTCTATGCGTACCCAGTATTTCTTCAATCGCTTCCATTCAAAATGAATTCATTTTTTTTCTCGTTCAAATGTGCGCTCGTGTGTAATGTATGAATCAGAATATATAAGCACACCGGTGCTCTCGGTTAACCATTATCAAGTGTGTGTGGTTTGAACGAAGATTTGACAAACTATAATTGAATTCATCGATAACGAACGGGGAAAATATTATACTGAACAAAGTGAAACGGCAATCAAGTTGAAAGTGCGATTCAATATTCCATCGCAATAGAGTTACACCATCGTTGTCGTCGTCGTCGGTGCTGTTGCTACTGCTGTTGCTGCTGTCGCCGAATGGGATGTAATGTTGCGTTACATTTAAATTTGTTTTCGATTCTGTGTCAGTTCCGAGAGCTGCAAGAGTTACGTTATGGAGCCCGTTGCTAACACGCTCTTATCCAACACGCATCAAACCAACACACAGCACACACAGCACCGACTTTTATTGTCTAACTAAGCGTTGCAACGGCAACTTGCTTGAGGAATCAAACAACAGAGCACAGAGCTAGACAATGTACCGAGTACGAGCACAACCAAATTCAGTATGTATTAACGTGCGATACAGAGCGGTCGTATCGATGGTTTTATCCATTTTATTTTTCTGTTTCTCTGTTGTGTTCCCCGGTGAAAACATACAACGATCGAAACCGCCGTTTCGTTCGTTCGTTCGACACGACAATCTTTTGAAAACTGAAAAAATCAACCGAAAAAATCATTCACACTGTAACAGGCCAAAAAGTTTCTTTTTCTTCAAGAGTAAAATCTTTCTTCTATTTGCAATGTTTTTTGTTTGACTTTCATTATTTTCCGCTCTTTTTTTTCTCTTCTATTCATTCGTTGTTCGTTTCTGAAGAAGTTTAGTTTAAAAGTGTTGGATGAAAGAGTATTAAGGAGGGAAAACACCGATTGAATTTCATGAAAATGTGAATAACTCCCAAAGAGAATTGAGTACGCGGTCGAATTCAATGTTTATTTTTTTCAAGTTCAAATTACGGACTTTTTGCCTGACTTTTATTTAGTTGTTTATTTGTGGAAAAGTGCCAAAGAGCTTCCGAACGATAACAACCGTGAATTTGTAGTGTGAAGAGAGAGAAAAAAACCTGTAAATAATCAAAAGTGTCAGAAATGAAAATAAACAAAATAAATTACAGAATTTAAAACCAACTTTTCTTTATCTATTATTTAAAACACAAATACACATTTTTGACAGAAAAAAAAATCAACTTTTGCGATAAAAAAAAATTCAGTTGGCATGGAAGAATAAAAATTGGTGGATTGCCACTTGAGGCATGAAAATTTGATTAAAGTGTTTTTTTAAATATTGAAAATACAACAAAAAATCGACAACAATAAAACAAACGTTGGAAACAAACGATTCCGAGAAAGTCAACCAAAGGCCTATTGTTCTGGTGTGCATATAGTAAAAAAAAAAGTATATGGAAAATTGAATGGCTGCCTTTAATGTAGACGTCAAATGTGCAATTGGCAGTAGTTCCCCGCTGGTGTTTCAGGTGCGAATTATTTGCGTAATATTTTTTATCCACTTTTCAAGCAAAGAATAAACGGAAAATAGCATGAAATTTCATTTAAAAACGAAAGAAAAGTGGAAACAATGAAACCATTTCAAAAGATAAAAGTGGACGCGCGCGCGTGAGGAGAAGAGAAGAAAAAAAAATGTGTGGTGCACATCTTTTGTCGACCCAACAGAGCATATTTTCCTTCTTTTTTTTTCGAAACGACCATCGTCGTCTTTCCTTTAGCTTCTCACCAAGACGACCGACAAAGTCAATGTGTTTATGATTAGTGAAATGTCTTGTCCTCAGCCGAATTAAATGCTATGTGGCACGAAATGCTCTTCCATCCCTTTTCTCTCTATCTCCCTTTTTTTCGTCGTTGTTATTGTTGATGTCTGTGGTGTGTGGCATGCAACGGTGTTGCGCTCTTTTGGCATTTTGTGTGCGAATTCCTCAAGTGAGTTTTGATCATTCATCGTGAGAAATAACCGAGAGCGAGAACGAGAGAGAGAGAGAGAGAAACAAAAAACGCATGCTTGTGTTTTGTGGTGATTCTTAAAGTTAGACGCGAGTAATTTTTCGTAAGCATTATACCTATTAAGTTTTATTATTCAATGCTTATGTGCCATAATTGGGTAAATGCCTAAAAAGTAAACACACAGTTTGATGCATATTTATTTGAATACACACAGAATCCAGTTGTTTGGGCAACAGAACGTTTTCATGCCATGTAATGCGTTAGATATTTGACTTGAGCCTTGTTCTGATACCCCGCACCAGAAGAAGAAGCAAAAAAATCATATTGTTGGCGGTGTGTGTGTGTGTGTAGTGTGGGGTGTTAACCGCAATGATGGTGCTATACCAAGCACAAAATGATCTTTTCATTCCACCACCGATGGATTATTATGAATTTTTCTTCTTACGTTCTTTTCAAACGAAAATTTCACAAAGCCAGCCGAAAAGAAAATACGAATTCGATTCAGGTGGGAGATATTACAAAGAAATATTCTCATATCTGCCATGCACCAACTAATTCTGTTGTCACACGCAACAGAAGAAAAAGAACAAGATGATGATGAAAAGCTGAATATAAAAAAAAAAGAAACGCCAATTTTATCTTGGACGCTCATTCTTTGTTATTCGACGCTTTGCAACAAGTTTGTGTAAAACTGATTCGCAAATCTAATAAGTTTTTGATTGCGTTATTCGTCGCTTCAGCAGTTTTAATTTCCATAAATATATTTAATATGGTGTGTCTTTTTGCGGTGGAGGAGAGTCAGGATGTTAATAGACAATATGTGGTGAGATGTGTAGGGTCTTGAAGTTTTTCTCTTCTTTTTACTTTTTTTATTTCCATTTTAAGACATTTTTGCATGTGGCTGCGAGGAAAAAATGTCAGGAAAACGAAAAAGAAGTATTTTGTTTTCTTTATGCTTTTTTCCTTCGTCTTTTGTGTGGTTTTCTTTTTTCCGCGTATCCAAGGAAGAAAAGTACATTTTCGTACATTGTGCGTTTGCTTCACAAATCGTGTAATTTTGGTTCGTTTCTGAATGGAATGCCTTAAATTACATTCCAGCAGTTCTTGTTAAGTGCGTATGCTTCAATAGTCTCGGGCCACAGAGTACTGATTTTGATTCAATTTTTCTATCTCCTCCGTCTCTCTCACTCTCACTCACACTCAGCCCCCCCTCCCTGTTTCATCAGTTAATTATGCTTAGTCATGTGGAAATGCTATGAGAAACAGTTTCGTATATATGTATAGGAATATAGTCATGTCCCTTTTTGCTTAAGTGACTGCTGTAAAATTCTTCAAAAGTTATTCCAATCTTATTAAATTATTTCGCAATTGGCTCCATTTCGGAGTAAAATCAATGGATTCTCCTCTGTCTCTCTCTTTCTCTCTCCGTCTCTGTGCGTCTGCCAAAACGACAGAGGAGGAGAATCTTACATGTTAAATACTATTGGCTTCATTTTCCGATTCAATCCAATGACTTTCGTCTTTGATATTCGATGGCATTACAATCAGATATAAAACTGGGCCAATGGAATGGCTGTATCAATGAAAATGGCATATCGAGATCTCAAGTGCACTGAATGCTCTATACGCAATTGAAACATAACCTTTTGTTGTGTCATTCAAACCGTTTTTGGAACCATTCAGACGGCCACAATTTATTTGTAACTTTTGAAAGTTACAAGTGATTCAAGTGATATACATTGTGATAGTTAGTGGTCAGCAAGATCATAATTTTTTTTTTCGGTCGGTGAATGGAATATGTTGAAGTGGTTAAATCATAATTCTTTGGATGGCGATGCAAATGAAAAATTGAATGTGATTCATGTGCCAAATGACCAACGAAGTGTCGATGAAGATCATTCGCTAATGAATCAATTATAAAATTGCAAATCTTTCGTAATTCCTGAAAATATGGAGAAAATGTCGGCTTGGCGATGCACATTCGCATCAAATTAAAAGTGATTGAAATTAATTTGTGTGTTTGTCATCTTCCTTTAGTGTGTTGTGTGTTCACTCTGTTGACATGTAGTCAATTTCAATTTGCTGTTGATAAACATGCACACAAACACATACATACACACACACACACCGTGTCGCATTTCTGCTTCGATCTCATTAATTCAGCACGGTTGTTTTTTATTTGTGCGCTTCTCCACATTCGTCTGTCGTTTTCAAGATATAGATTTTGTTTTCTCGTTAGTCGGAATGGTAATTTGATGGCCTTCCTTGTCAAGATGTACAAAAGACTCGATTAGCGCTCTGCGCTCAACAAGCAAACGGTACGTTTTGTTGTTGTCGGCTACAAAAGCCAGCAATTCAAAATGAATGGATATTTATTAAAAGTCATTTTTAGAATGTGCTTATATCTCCCGCTGCTGATGATAAGCCAACCAGTAGGTAATTTAATCAACATGTGGACTAAATTGTCAAATCTAAAATAGAAGACAGTGCAAGAACAACAAAGAACAACGGGGAAAAACACGAATCATTGTCCACAATGAAAGAATATCGAGATACATGCAGCTAAGCTACTCTCTCTCTCTCTCTCTCTCTCTCTCTCTGGATATGATTCTACGACCATATTCCTTTATGGCATACTAACAAGCTAGAGGGGAAAAAGGCAAACATCATTAAATTTGCGGTTGTTATGATGATGTGTAGCGCCGTGGAAAATAAAAGTATAACAAAATTAACAAGAGCAAAATGTTCGTTAATGAGGTTCATAATTTTCATCGGTGCCAAGTATCCCCATATAAAATCGATACTAAGCACTTTTACGCTCTCGATCTGGCGAAAGTGATTTTAAAGTTTTCTTTTTAGCTTCAAAGTGTGTGACCATTAGCCATAGACTGACTCTAATATGGAGATATTTTGTTTTTGCATATCATCACAATCTCTTTGCTCTCAGTCGCTCGTTCTCTTTTTAGCCAACGACTCACTTCATTTCCGTTCGTTTGGTTCGTTATGCAATAAAGCCATATGCATTTATTATTCATGGGCAAAAACATGTGTTCAGGCAAAATGTAACCGCGCGCTACAGGATATGATGATGTATACATCAAGAGAAATGGGCATTGAAGAGCCAATGAGGCAACAACAACAACGGCGACGACTGAAAGCAACAGTAGCAATGGCAGCAATGGCAATGGCATTGGTTGTAACAACATCAACAAGAATCGAAATAAAAGCGATGGTATTTTTCACTTTATTTGAAATCTATGTGATGCGCACTCAATTCACTGTGGCTGCCCCCAAAAATTATTCGCTCATTTTTTTTTTCTCCGGTCGTTTCTGTGTTTGACGCTTTTCTCTCTCTCTCTCCTCTTTCTCTTCCCATTCCGATAATCTGCATCTTTTGTTTTCGTCATCATCAACACCACCGTAAATTTCGCAATATGTCGAATGTGTGTGCTCTACACGCTGATGGCACGTGCTGCTTCACTTTCACTGTGTGTGTGTTTTTTCGCTCTTGTTGTTATTATTGGTGCTACTGCTGTTGATATTTTTTTACCTTCATCTTTTCTGCCACTTTGCAATACCGCCGTCGATATACTCCGATTTGTTTGATCACACTTCTATTTTGAAATGAATGCCATTCAAGCACGCCTCGAAATAATATATCCCCAAATATATGTCGCATTGTTCGATGCGAATACGTTGCTGGTATGCCAAAATCGCAAAGCGACAACGACAATGACAACGAAGACGACAAAACCAGAGCCCAAAACATACAGTGAGAAAACAACAATGTTAAGCGTCATGCGTGTCATTTCTCTACGCTTGTTGTATAGATATATTCTAATCCATGTACAAATGCCTTGGCATCTTCTGCATATAGGTACATAAACGTTGAGTTTTCAGGGTGATATTGTGTACAGGATTTATGCCGGATTTTATCCGAATGTTCATCGAAATTGTTGGTAATTTTTCTCTCCAATTCGGTTTTAATGTTTTCTAAAACAATAGTGATCCAGCCAGAGTCATAAGTGTGGATCTTTGTCACTGCAAATGGTATCATTATCTATGTCTCTCTCGCTCGCTCGCTCGCTCGCTTACTCTTTCTTTCTCTCACAACGAGACCACAGATAGAGATGAAAATACGCAATGAGAGGGGCAAACGACCCAACAATTTCGCAAAACAAGAATTGAGTTGTTTTCGGAGAGGCAGAAAAATACCAATCGACCAAATGTGATGACAGGCAACAAAAAAAACCGTCACACAAGAAAAGTGAAAAAGAACTGCTGATTCCTTATCGAGAACCACATTTTTTTCCTAATTAGGACCAAATGAATTCCATCCTTGCATTGGCCATGGGTTTTTGTTGTCTCTTCTATTGAAACCGAATAAAATCGCCAATTGAAACCCAATTGAAACAGGTTCATCGGACTGGACCACACAAGGTGCAAAGTAACCTTTCACACACACACAGAGACTGTGACAGAGAGACAAACCGGAACGTTGAAATGTCGTAGCATTTCT